AGCTTCAGCCTTGGAGTCTCTTCATGGTTTACAACATCCAGCAGAATAAAATAGGGGCAGATTCTGAGTTTTCTTTATCTGGAAATATTTCCTTAATGAAGTGATATACTTTGCATGAGCTGTCTGTAGGTGCCCCGCTCTAGGGAATAGAAAGACACGCATCCCCTTTCACAGAAATTCACAAGAATAGTAGCTGCCAGTGTTGAGGGCTCTGCGCCAGGAGTATGTACGTGTACATAGATTGTAATTTGGTCTGTCCAACATTGAAGTAGGAATTATAATCCTCCCTTTACAGAAAAGAGAAGCGGGGCCCTGAAAGGGCAGTTAATTTTCCCAAGGTCACACAGCTAGCAAGTAGTGGAGCCAGATGCAAACCAGACCTGTCACACTCCGGGGTCCTCACTCTCAGCCACTGTGCTATACTTGGATCAGGCTTCTTTTCACAAGCTCGAAATGGCTTTAGGAAACAGCCAGCAATAAGGGCCACATGCTGTTCCTCAACTCACTGAAATCCAAAGTAACAGTTTTGGGTGGATGGCACCTACTTTTAATCTGATTGAGCACTCAGAAGCCTCTAGAGTGAGTTGCTTTGCTCAAAGCAGTTATTTTACACTAATGAAATTGTGATTACAAGTGCCACACTAGATGAAGCAGAATTCTCTGACCTCGAAAGCTAATTTATCTGCACCCAGAGATGAGTCCAAATTATTTTCTCAGAATGTGGATGTAGCCTGACAGTCATGTGTACTAGTTTAGACCAATGTCTTTGGAGTTTGACCGTGGTTCTGCCATTAACTATTATCTGGGGCTCCTGACTAGGTGGGACTATAGGCACACGCCACCATGCCTGGTGAATTTCTTTGACTTTTCTCTAGAGCCAGGGTCCACCTGTGCTCAGACTTTTAGACTCAAGTGAACCTGAACCTCCCGCCTCGACCTCTCAAATTGCTGGGATTACAGGTGTGAGCCACCACACCCGGCCTAAATTTATGATGTGCCATGGGACTACAAAACGTCATTATTATGGGCAGCCGGATGGAAGGTGTAGGAGGACACTATGGTGCCTTTTCAATCTTTCTGTATATCTTAAATCTTTTCAACAGGAAACATTTATTTAAAACATGAATGTGGTTAACCTTCCATGAGTTTAAAGTACAAAGGCAGGCTCACGGTGTCGTCAGAATTCAGAATGCTGGTCGCAGGGCTGGGGGTGCTGGGAGGGGCTGGGCTTGGTTGGCTTTGTGATCTGGGGGCTGGTGTGTTCCATCTGTGAACGTCTTCCATGCTGTGCACTATATTAATAAGTTTTTGTAAGTTTAACAAAAAATAAAGCAAATACGTGAAGTTTGCTTGGGTTGTTAAGCCTTGGGAAATTATCCAGCCACGAGCCCTGGCCCAGATGCTTCTAGAAGCCTGGAGGGAACTGAGAACTTTCCAAGGTGGCAGAGACAAAGCCCTGAGGTGGGAGTGCACTGCTGCTCATCCTTAGCTGTGAAGGGGGTGTCCTGGTTGGAATCAGTGCTGGGTGCAGTGCAGGGCTGGAAGTCCATGTCCACATTGTGGCTCAGTGCAGTGAAAGCCAATCTCACCCCCTCCGCAGGGTGTTCCGCCTGCCAGCAGGTGGCCAGCTGGTCCTCCTGGGATATGATACCATTGTAGAAATTGGGTGCAAGTCTCTTGTCCGCAGATGGGGTGCCCTGTTGCAGTGGGATGTCTCCCGACCTCTCTCAGTCCTGATGGGCCTGGGCAGGGCCTGGTGTCAGGGTCCCCGCGGGCTTCTCCAGCTGGCCCTGTCCCACAGTCCCGGGGCTGTCCAGGACACATTCAGAAGGGACACAGACCCAGCAGCTCTGTTCGAAATCATAATGGGGGAACCAAGGGCCCCCTACATCCAGGTCCGTCGGGAGCCGGGGCATCGAGTTCTACTGCAGGAATCTCCAGGAACCCTGAGGTCCTCCCTGAGCCGGGGCCGGGCTGGGCACACCCTGAGTGCCCACAGGGTAGGTGTCTTCCCAGACAGCCTCAATAAGACAGGATGTGAAAGAACCAGGTGCCTGTGGCAGGGAAGCTAACAAAATGAGCCACTGGAACTGGGCCGGTGGGCCTGGAGGGGTCTGCCTGTCCCCCTTGCAGAGGGTCTTCTTGCCATGTGAAGCCGGCACAGGTCTGGGTGCTGAGGACCCTTGCTCGGGTTTGGCTGAAAGGAAAACAGACGTGGTCAGCGTCCCTTGTGAGCCCATGTAGGCCTTTCCGGGCTGGGCCCCACCTGCCTGCGTCTCTGGAGTCCTCGGGGTCTCTGTGTGGCCCCGTGGTCTGACACTGAGGACACGCCTGTAGTCTGCTGATGCCAGAGGGAGGGGTGTGTGCCGCCTGGCATGCGGAAGCTGTCGGGACATGGCAGGTGGCTCCTGGGACTGCCCGCCAGGGTTCAGACTGGCTGGGGGCTTCCTGCCACTCACCCTCATCCCAGGGCTATTGGGGCAGGGATACAGCCCCCAGTTCGAATTCAGGTGGGAGGGGCCTTGGATGTCACCCAGCCCCTTGCCACCTCACATGGGGACCCATCTCCACAGTGGGTGATTGGGCCCGGATGTGGGTCCAATCTGCCTTCCTGGGCTGCCCAGTCCATGCCAGGACTGACTGTTCCCACATCTGGCTGAACTCTTGACTCTGGCTCTGGGCCTGGGGTCGGGTCCCGCCTATGCCCTCTCCCTGAATGCTCTGGGGGTCAGAGACACTGATTCCCTCGTCTCCCTGGCTCAAGCCTTGTTGTTCTGGCACCCTTGGAGGAGCGTGCAGTAGTGAGGGGCCTCTGCTGCTCTCTGAGGCTGTGGGTGCTTGCAGCGAGGGGTGGAGTCTCCCACAAATGGGTCTGGCTCTTCCAGTGCCCTTGACGGCCTTGTGATGGGGAGACAGAGACACCGTGGAAAGTGGGAGGGGGCTTGTTGGAGGGTCATGCCCACATCGCCCTCCTGCGTGCACATCACATCCAGTACACACGCACTGAGCACCTGCCGTGAGGACCGGTGGCCTCCTGTACTTTCTTAGAGTTCAGGAGGAAGAGGAGGAGGAAAAGGTGAAGAGGAAGGCCCAGGTAGTAGGGCTGTGGGTCTCGGGCACTCCCCCACTATTGACTGCCCCAGAGGGTGACATGGGAGGGGACATGGCACTGGAGCCCACCTGGGGGTGGCAGGTCCCCTTGCTTCCTTGTTAGTTTCTTCGTAGAGGCCCTAAGATGCTTGAGCACAGTGTCATCATCCAGGGTCCAGGTGTGGAAGAACTGGTTCTGAAAACGTGCCCACAGGCCAGACCTGGACGTCTTCATAGGCGCTCTAGGGACAGGGTGGACATCAGGCCTGGAGAGTTCCCTGGGAGGGGGCACAGCTGATACCCCACGACCACTTCAGTCTCCCACCGGGCAGTGCCGGATCCTTTTGTAGCCACCCCAGGGGTCCAGATGTGCACAGGAGGCTGTGGCAGGGGGACGACCTGGGCAGGGAAGTGCTCACCACACTCCCGACTTTCATCTGGGCCATGTGGGGGATGGGCTCAGTGTCACTGTGCCCTGCCCAGCCAACCTGGCCAGACCTCCCTCTGGGTCAGAACAGAGGATCATGAGGACCCTGTGAAGAAGCTGCCCTTGGGCCAGTTGGGATCTGACCCCAGGGCTCCCAAGGCCCCACTGGGCACACGGAGACTTACTCTTCTGAATCTTAAAGGCAATGCTTGTCATCGGCATCAACACCTGGTCTCCTTCCAGCAAATACACGTCCCACAGGTGCAGGGTGAGCCCAAGAGAGATCTGTGGGGACAGCAGGTGTGGGAGAACCTGGCCCTTCCAGGCTGGGGCTGGTGGCTTGAGCTGCACACATTGGGGCACAGTCCCCAGAGTCAGTGACCTTCCCCATGAGGGTTTCCTGAGCCCTCCAGGGCGCTGGGTCAGACAAGGTCTTGCAGCTCCTCATGGGGGGCACTCATTGGAGTGGGGATGTGACTCCTGGAGAGAGGGGCTTGCCCAGGGCTTGAGGCTTCCCTGAGCCCTCTCAAGTCGGGTCTTGGCCCAGTCTGCCCATGAGGCTGGTCCTGAGCCCCAGTCATTGCCCTGGGATGACCCCTCTTGGGCAGAGGGTTTTGCTTGTGAGTACTTCGGGGACCCGCCTGAGCCTCCTGTGGGCTGTGGGTGAGCCAGACCCCCGGGCTGGGGAAGCAGGGCACTGCAGGGCAAGGAGGGTCCCGGAGCCAGGGTCTCCCTGTGCCTTCTTACCCCATCATTCAGCATCCGGTGAAGCCAGCCTAACGAGGGACCCTGCGCGCAAAGACCTTCCTTGTCCTGATGGGAGGAACAGAGGTGCTCAGGGCCCCCTGGGCTGCCCTAAAAACCTCCCTCTTCCAGGGCCTCTGAAGACCCTTCCCCTAGTGCAGAACACTGGGCGGTGTCCAGGGCTCCCCACAACACCGGCCCCTTCCCACACTCCCGGTGGACACACTGCCCTTTGCCCTGCTCTGCGGGAGCTGGGCCCCCATCCCTGTGCCTCTGTCTCCTCCAGGGCAGGAAAGGAATCCAACTCCCAGCCCATGGAGAACCCGACGTCCCAAGTCAGGCCCTGGCTGGACTCATCCAGTCACCAGCCCCATGAGGGGCTCCAGTCTCCGTTCCTCCAGCCCCACAGGAGGCAGGGCCTCTGGGGAAGAGCCGAGGGGACCATTAACTCACCAGATGCCACATGGTCTTGGGTTGTGATGTGAGGACCACATGCTCCTGATGGTCTTGGAGCCCCTGGACTGTCCCACCATTTAGGCTGTGGAATCTGAGAAGCCCCCAGCCCATCATGAAATCAGAGCCTTCCCCCAAGATGTGGAGCCATCAGCTGGAAGAGCTGGGCAGCTGGAGAGGCCCCCAAATCCCAAGGCCTCTCACCCTCCCATCTGGTGACCTCACCAGGCGACCTTTGCCCTGGGGACGTGGGGCAGGAACATCCCCTGGAGCCTGGCTAGAGGTTCCCCTGGAGGCCTCCTGGACCAGGGTGCAAAAAGGGCAAGCCTGACTTGAGGCCACGACAGGGTGGCCAGAACAGGGTGCGTGCTGGGCTTCCCGGTCGTCTCCTGGAAGTGGGGTCGGGCCAGGGGACACGGGATGGGGAGATGCTGCCACCTGGGCTTGGTTGGCCCATTTGTGAGCACCAAGGGTAGGTGAAGCCCGGGCAGCTGTGGGGCAGGAGGACTCTCAGGGAGGGGAGAGTCAGCTGCACAGAATCAGAGCCAGAGGGCGTGGCAGCAAGACACAGAGGGTGGCCCCGGGGAGGATGAGATGCCCTCCGCTGATGGGGATGAAAGGCATCTGACTTGGGCTTTGGGGGTCAGCCGTGGACTCCTGTGGGACCCTCAGCAGAGACATCCTAAAGGTTCCCAACAAGCTAGCGACACAAGGAAGGTGCCTTGGCTGAAAGCCGAGATCGTCTGGCCAGGGTGGCCATCCCTGGGTCTGGCTGCATGAGGTCCCAAGGGCAGCTGTCCACCTACCCTGCAGGGAGTGCCTCTCCCTGGCCAGCAGCTGCACCAGTGCCCAGAATGCATCCTCCTCAGGCAGATAAAGGAGGAACAAGGCCTCGATGTGGCTCAGGTCCCTGCAGTAGCCCACCTCCTGCAAGAGTCAGAGTCACCATGAAAGGACATCACCTGGGAGGACTGAGGTCACCTGGGAGGACTCATGTCATTGGAGAGGGCAGAGGTGACTGGGGAGGCTTCCACTGAGGAAGAGGCTTCCTCAGGATGCAAATTCATTTCATGACAAGAGCCAAGTCCATCAGGCACTTCAGCACCTTGTCCAAACTGTCTCCTGATGGCACCATCCCGCATGCGACCCTGCCAAGCTCCTGGGCTTTGGGGCAGCCCCAGGAGGAGGGCGTCATTTCTTGTTCTGAGAAGTGGTGGTCAGACCCAGGTGACACCAGGAGTCCAGGCCCCGACTCCTTTGTGTCTCAGCTTGACCCCTTGAGACCACTCCCTTGCTTGGAGGTTTATGCCAGCAGTGAGCTGGAGTTCTACCTTCTATATCCTGGTGGGTCACAAACACTAACTTTAAAAGAAGTGATGGCACCCCCACCAGACACCCACTCCTGTGAACAGGGAAATACTGCCCGGGAACGTCACTGCCGGGAATACTCACCGGGTTATACTCCGAATATGCCAAGAGGATGTAGAATAGTTCCCGCTGCCTAGGAAACAGAGAAATGAGGCTTTTGTTTGTTTTGTGCAGATGCCGTTAGTTTCACTTTGTCTACAAAGCCTAACAACAAATCCCACTTTAGGTTCAGATGATTCACCAGATAAGCAGTGAGCTCTTCAGGGCCTTTGACTTTGAGGAAATGTTTCAGTAAAATCCACATCTGTGACATGCAGATAGCCCAGTTGTACAGTGACTTGCCTGATCCTTTTCACTCTGAATGATTTTTTTTATTTTCAGTTTGCAGACACGCCAGTTCAGCCTTTGGGTGTACAGTTCCTCCACGGTTCTAAACCAATGGGCAGAGTTTCCTGGCCACTGCCCCAGCCCCTCCTGCAGCAACTCCTTCATCTTCCAAGTCTCCAGGGTGGCCCCTATGCACCCAGCCTCTCCCTGATCCCTCAGCCCCTGACCACCCAGACTGCTTCTCAGTCCCTGTGGTTTGGCCTTTTCCAGAATGGCCCAGGAATGGGAATCCTACGTGGTAGCTTATTGGATCTGGCTTTTTTCCCTCAGCAAAATGCACCTAGGATCCACCCACGTTCGTGCAGGCATCACTGGCTCATTCCCTTTTCTCACTGTGTCTTCCATTTGGAGGGAGGACCAGCCTTGCTCTCCCCGTTCCCATGTTGAAGGCTGTCCCCGAAGGCTCCTTGTGTGAGTGACGATGAATCAAGCAGTGGACGTGGCATGCAAGTTTCATGTGGATGTCAGTTTTCAAATCAGTGGGTTCAATATCTGTGACACTTTGGGGACACGTGGTTCAAGTCCATTGAGCGTTGTGAGTCACTGCCAAACTGGCTGCCAAAGTGGCTGTGCCATGTCATGTTCTCAGCAGACATGGATGACAGTTTCCAGGACCCCTAGTTCACCCAGCTTTTGGTACTGTCAGTGTTGCCTGGAGAGGCTCATGGGCCCTCCATCCTGCCACCCTCCCGTGAGTCCTACCATGGGTCCCCGTGGGTCAGGGAGAGCACTTTTCACCATTGTGCATGATTTTGTTTGCTGCCTTCTGTCTCCTCGGGATCCTCCTGGGTTCTGGCCCCACATGTTCCAGTCTGGCCCAGGGCTTGGAAGCAGGGAAGTGCTCTGTTCTTGGTGCCGGCTGGTCCCTGAGCCAGGAGAGCTCTTGGCAGCTCTGTCATCCCTCCTGGGTGACCCTGGCCTCTTCTCCGGGGAAGCCCCCATCTCTTTCATTCACTCCATCTCCGCTGGGACCCTGTGGCTCCCGTAGGCTTACTTGGCTCCATATCGATCCCTGAAGAAGATGTGATTCCTTAGTGTCCTGCTCACGTCCAGGTCGATCTGGTGGATGTGTTCAGATGACCTCTTGCCCTTCTCCTTCATGACCTGTAGGGCAGCGCCAAGAGGAGGAAGCAGCCTCAGAACAGATGGAAGACTCCCTGCCCCAAATGGCAGTCAGCCCACAGTCAGCACTCCGGGAAGGAAGGAAAGCAGGAAGGTTTCCTTCTGCACAAAGCTGCTTTTTGGCTTGTTACTGAAGCCAGGGAGGGTCACCGGAGCCGAGTTTGTCTGTGGTGACTATGTCACCGTCCGTGCCCAGGATGTGCATCTGACCATCCCACCCACCCCCCAGCCTGGGCTTGATGCTCCCTCCCTCCAGCTGGAGACCTGGGCCCCTGACTCGGCCTGTCCTGTTTGTTGTGCTCTGGCTGAGCGTACCTTGTATGTTCTGGGGTTTTTCGACTTGACTTTCTGTATGTTCAGGAGGACTGACCACACTTGGCCCCGGATGTTCATGGGAATGCCCTTATATATTCGATCTATCAGCTGTGGGCAGAAAGCAGGGGACCACAGTGGGCAAGCCAGGATTGGAATATTTTTGTCCACGATCCTTAGAGTGACATAAGTGGACCACTCCCCAGGATGAAGAGGGATGACACTCAGCGGACTGATCTGAACTTTTCCTTCAGTCACGGCATCCAGCCTTGAGCCGGGTCCAGCCCTAGATCAGATCCCTCCAGCAAGGTGACGCTTCATAATAGAAACGGCGACCAGGCCTGCAGTCCTCTGGGTGAGGACAGTGTGCCAACCGCCCTCTGAGAGGCTGACGGTGCCAGGTCACAACCATGGGTGCCTGTCCCCTGTCTCTGCAGAGAGTGGTTCCGGGGGCCTCTCCCTCCACACATTACTTTTTTACTGTTCTTGTATGTCTCCCATTGTCCCAGCATTTCCATCCACTTACTCTTTCATCTCATCTGCTGCCGCATTTGCTGTCAAATGAGGAATGTTGGAGTTAGCGGAGCTGCCAGGCTTCCCAGAGCCACCCCTGGATGCTGGGTCCTGGGCTCTAGAGGACTGGGTCCTGGTGGGACCCAGTTGGAAGGAGCCAGGGAAGGGCAGACCCTAAGGGTTGAGAGCCTTTGAGCAAATGAGCACCAGTGGGCTGGCTTTGGGACCCCGGGACGTGCCATCCTCAGGCCACAGACACACCAGTCTTAGATCAGGTCCCAGCCTCTAGGTGGGGTCCTGACACAGGCGGGCAGCCACCCCCAAGTCAGGACTGTGCTTCTCACTTTGGAATTTTATCAAACTGCCCAAGTTACAGCAACCTGGGGTCAGGTCCAGCAGGGACTGCTGCCCCTTCCAGTGACAGCATGTGGCCCTCAGTTGCCACTGCACAGACCAGCTGCCTCCTCTGCCTCATTGACCACCCGCCCACATCCCTGGACCAGCGCCCCCATGCATCAGGCTCTTACTTTCGCCTCCTGGGCAGTGACCGGGGGGCAGCTCTGTCTCACTATAAGGCAACATAGGCAAAGCTGAGGACCTGCACATGGCCTGGAGCCGCCCCAGTCAGGGAGCCGACCCCCAGAAAGGATTGGCTCTGTCCCTCTCCAGCTCAGGGCTCAGCCCGGGAGAAGGCACAGGGAAGGGAGGACAAGGGCCTTCCTGTGTGGCTGACTCCCAGGAGGGGCAGGACCTGGGAGAAGAGGGAGTGCAGGGCCAGCCTGGGCGGAGTTACTGGGGCCCCTGGCGTGGGGGGTGATCAGGCTGCACAATGGGGCTGCCCGTCCTGGACTGGAGGTGATGCTTTCTGCTGGAGCTGAGAAAGGTCAGGCCTGAGATTAGATGGGGGCCACCCAGGGTGGGTGACTGGGCCCTGACAGGAGTCCCTCAGGGAGTGACCACGTTACGCTACCAGGGTCAAGGGAGCCTGCCCTGAGACCTGCCTGGTGCGCCCTGGGTGCACCAGGGGCCCATCCCGCTTGACAGCCCCAAGGCCCTTGCAGGTTCTGACTTCCCAGGGTCCACCTGCCTCTCCCTGCATCTGAGCCACACACCCTGCGTTTCAAAAGTGGCACGGCTCACAAGCTCACTCCCACTCTACTTCCCCTGGGATCCTGTCTCTCCATCCTATGATCCCTGAGGGATGGGCTCCTCTTACCTGGCCCCAGATCCCTTCCCAGCACCAGACCCAGGGTCTTTAGCCGAAAGCCCCTCTGCCTCCCTGGCCTCACCGTGAGATGCCCAGAATGGGGCCCTGCCCGTCTTCCTCCCCATTCTCCTAGGACCACAGCCCCCACTGTCCCCATGCCTTTCCCACTTCCCCATGGGGACAGCGAGGGCTGTAGCTCTAGGGAAATGGGGGACCAGTCAAACCTTCAGATGACAGGCCGGGCGCGGTGGCTTACGCCTGTAATCCCAACACTTTGGGAGGCCGAGGCGGGCAGATCACGAAATCAGGAGATGGAGACCATCCTGGCTAAGATGGTGAAACCCCGTCTCTACTAAAAATACAAAAAATTAGCCGGGTATGGTGGTGGGCACCTGTAGTCCCATCTACTTGGGAAGCTGAGGCAGGAGAATGGTGTGAACCTGGGAGGTGGAGCTTGCAGTGAGCTGAGATCGCGCCACTGCACTCCAGCCTGGGCGACAGAGTGAGACTCCGTCTCAAAAACAAAACAAAGAAAACCCTTCAGATGACTGTGACCTCAGCTGACATTTGACTGCAAGCTCACGAGAGATCCGAAGACAGAACCATCCCACTAAGAAAGAGGTGCCCAAATTCCTAATCTAATAAATAGATATTTTTATATTTTTTAAGCTGCTAAAATTTAGGTTAATGTGTTGTGCAGCTATAGATAATTAATATAGATTTTGATGGAGTGCTGTCATAACAAATACCTAAAAATATGGAAGTGGAAGTGGCTTTGGAATTCGGCAGGGAATGGAAACTGGAAGGACTTTGAGGAGAGTGTTTGTGTAAGTCTAAGGTGCCAGGCTATTTGCACAAGCCTGATGGCATTTGGACAGACTGAGGACTTGAAGAAAAATGTTGCTGGAAACCGAGGGAAAGGGGATCCAGTTAGGGGAACTGGAGTGCTAGGTGGGAAGGAGATTTTTCACTTTAAATTTTTTGAATATTTAGAGTATTATCTATATGAAAAAACTACTTTGATGATATACAAATAATAATTTTTAAAATAAGGCTCTAGAAAGCTGGACATCGTGTCACATGCCTGTAGTCTGAGCTCCTTGGGCAGCTGAGGTAAGAGGATTGCTTGAGCCCTGGAGTTCAAGGCTTATAGTGCACTGTGATTGCCCCTTTGAATAGCCACTGTACTCCAGCCAGGGCAACACAGTGAGATCCCATCTCTATTTTTTAAATAAATTAATTTAATTAAATCAAAGAGGCCTAGAGTGTGAGCTTCATAATTCAGGCTGATTCCTAGGGCCTCTGGTCCCTGCAGCTTCTTTTCTTCTCCACTACAAGGCACAGGTCACCACTACTCTGAGTGACCCCACTTCCAAGTAGACTGGAAAGTCCATGTGTTGGCCAGGTGTGGTGGTTCCTTCCTATAATTCTGGAACTTAGGGAGGCTGAGGAGGGAGGATCACTGGAGTCCAGGAGTTTCAGACAAGCCTGGGCAACATGGCAAGATCTTGTCTGTACAAAAGATAAAAAAATTAGCTGGGCATGGTGGCACACCTATGGTCCCAGCTACTCGGGAGGCTGAGGCTGGAGGATCACTTGAGCCCAGGAGGTCAAAGCCGCAGTGAGCCATGTTTGCACTACTACTCTCCAGCCTAGGCAACAAAGCAAGACCCTGTCTCAAAAGATAAAATAGAAAGAAAGAACAAAAAAAGTCCATGTGTCACTGTCTCCCAAAGGCCATGGCCAGGGTCTCCCATTGCACTTCAGGGGACAGAGGGAGCTTCAGATTACAGTTGCTCCTCACCTTGTCATGGGGCTACATCCAGATAAACCCACTGTGAGTTGAAACTAGTGTCAATCGAAAATGCATTTAATGCACCTAACCTATCAAAAATCATAGCTGGCCAGGCGCGGTGGCTCACACCTGTAATCCCAGCACTTTGGGAGGCCAAGGCAGGCGGATCACAAGGTCAGGAGATCGGGACCATCCTGGCCAACACGGTGAAACCCCGTCTCTACTAAAAATACAAAAATATTAGCCGGGCGTGGTGGCGGGCGCCTGTAGTCCCAGCTATTCAGGAGGCTGAGGCAGGAGAATGGCGTGAACCCAGGAGGTGGAGCTTGCAGTGAGCTGAGATCACGCCACTGCACTCCAGCCGGGGCGACAGAGTGAGACTCTGTCTCAAAAAAAAAAAAAAATCATAGCTTAGTTAAACCTATCTCAAATATGTTTAGAACACTTCTATTAGCCTACAGTTGGACAAGATCATCTAACATAAAGCCCATTTTATAACAAAGTGTTGAATTCTCATGTAATTTATTGAATACTGTACTGAAAATGAAAAATGGAACGGTTCTGTGGGTACTCTATTGCTTTCTTCCACCAGAAACTTGAACCATCATAAGCTGGGGAGTAGGGAATTGTTTGTATTTGGACTGGTCCCATAAATCTCTTTTCTTTTTTCTTTCTCTCTCTTCTTTCTTTCTTTCTTTCTTTCTTTCTTTCTTTCTTTCTTTCTTTCTTTCTTTCTTTCTTTCTTTCTTTCTTTCTTTCTTTCTTTCTTTCTTTCCTTCTTTCTTCCTTTCTTTCTTTTTCTTCTTCTTCTTTTTTTTTTTTTTTTAACAGGGTCTTGCTGTGTTACCCAGGCTGGTGTTGCAGTGGTACAAACACCATTCCTGGGCTCAAGAGATCCTCCTGCCTCAGTATCCCAAGTAGCCGGGATTACAGGCACATGCCACCACATCCAGATAATATTTAGTTTTTGCTTTTTTGTAGAGACGAGGTCTCACTTTGTTGCCTAGGCTGGTCTCAAAATCCTGGGCTCAAGTGGTCCTCTACCTCGACCTCCCAAACTGCTCAGATTACAGTCACAAACCATGGCACCTGGCCTTTTTTTTTTCTTATTTTTCTACCTTCAGGAAGATTTTCTTGATCTTCCAGTGATTCTTTGGAATGTTTTATGTATTCTATCATATGTTTAATTTTTCAGGAAACTTGTTCTCTGATTGTTCCTTTTTTTTTTTTTTTTTTTTTTTTGAGACGGAGTCTCGCTCTGTTGCCCAGGCTGGAGTGCAGTGGCGCGATCTTGGCTCACTGCAAGTTCCGCCTCCCAGGTTCATGTCATTCTCCTGCCTCAGCCTCCTGAGTAGCTGGGACTACAGGCACCCGCCACCGCACCCGGCTAATTTTTTGTATTTTTAGTAGTGACGGGGTTTCACTGTGGTCTTGATCTCCTGACCTTGTGATCCGCCCGCCTCGGCCTTCCAAAGTGCTGGGATTACGGGCATGAGCCACCGCGCCTGGCCAGTTTTTCCTTTTTTAGAGCATCCTAATCTCATTTTGCAATTGCAGGATCTTCCCTTACCTAGTTGAAATAGTAA